GTGTGATCATTGTGGGCTGTGTGATCATTAGTAGCTGTGTGATCATTAGTAGCTGTGCGATCATTAGTAGCTGTGTGATCATTCGTAGCTGTGTGATCATTAGTAAGCTGTGTGATCATTAGTAGCTGTGTGATCATTAGTAGCTGTGTGATCATTAGTAGCTGTGTGATCATTCGTAGCTGTGTGATCATTCGAAGCTGTGTGATCATTCTTAGCTGTGTGATTATTCGTAGCTGTGGGGATCATTAGTAGCTGTGCGATCATTCGTAGCTGTGTGATCATTAGTGGGCTGTGTGATCATTAGTAGCTGTGTGATCATTCGTAGCTGTGTGATCATTAGTAGATGTGTGATCATTATTAGCTGTGTGATCATTCGTAGCTTTGTGATCATTAGTAGTGTGTGATCATTAGTAGCTGTGTGAATCATTAGTAGCTGTGTGATCATTAGTAGCTGTGGGGATCATTCGTAGCTGTGTGATCATTAGTAGCTGTGTGATCATTAGTAGCTGTGTGATCATTCGTAGCTGTGTGATCATTCGTAGCTGTGTGATCATTCGTAGCTGTGTGATCATTAGTAGCTGTGTGATCATTCGTAGCTGTGTGATCATTCGTAGCTGTGTGATCATTAGTAGCAGTGTGATCATTAGTAGCAGTGTGATCATTAGTAGCTGTGTGATCATTCGTAGCTGTGTGATCATTGCTAGCTGTGTGATCATTCGTAGCTGTGTGATCATTAGTTGCTGTGTGATCATTAGTAGCTGTGTGATCATTCGTAGCTGTGTGATCATTCGTAGCTGTGTGATCATTCGTAGCTGTGTGATCATTAGTAGCTGTGTGATCATTGTAGCTGTGTGATCATGTAGCGTGTGATCATTAGTACTGTGTGATCATTAGTAGCTGTGTGATCATTCGTAGTTGTGTGATCATTAGTAGCTGTGTGATCATTAGTAACTGTGTGATCATTAGTAGCTGTGTGATCATTCGTAGCTGTGTGATCATTAGTAGCTTTTGTGATCATTAGTAATGCTGTTTTGATCATTAGTAGCTGTGTGATCATTAGTAGCTGTGTGATCATTAGTAGCTTGTGTTGATCATTAGTAGCTGTGTGATCATTAGTAGCTGTGTGATCATTAGTAGCTGTGTGATCATTAGTAGCTGTGTGATTATTAGTAGCTGTGTGATCATTAGTAGCTGTTTTGATCATTCGTAGCTGTGTGATCATTAGTAGCTGTGTGATCATTATTGTGCTGTGTGTGATCATTAGTAGCTGTGTGATCATTAGTAGCTGTGTGATCATTCGTAGCTGTGTGATCATTCTTAGCTGTGTGATCATTCGTAGCTGTGTGATCATTAGTAGCTGTGTGATCATTAGTAGCTGTGTGATCATTAGTAGCTGTGGGGGATCATTAGTAGCTATGTGATCATTCGTAGCTGTGTGATCATTAGTAGCTGTTTGATCATTAGTAGCTGTGTGATCATTCGTAGCTGTGTGATCATTCGTAGCTGTGTGATCATTCTTAGCTGTGTGATCATTCGTAGCTGTGTGATCATTAGTAGCTGTGTGATCATTAGTAGCTGTGTGATCATTAGTAGCTGTGTGATCATTAGTAGCTATGTGATCATTCGTAGCTGTGTGATCATTAGTAGCTGTGTGATCATTAGTAGCTGTGTGATCATTCGTAGCTGTGTGATCATTCGTAGCTGTGTGATTATTAGTAGCTGTGTGATCTTTAGTAGCTGTGTGATCATTGTGTGATCATTCGTAGTTGTGTGATCATTAGTAGCTGTGTGATCATTAGTAGCTGTGTGATCATTAGTAGCTGTGTGATCATTAGTAGCTGTGTGATCATTAGTAGCTGTTGTGATCATTAGTAGCTTTTGTGATCATTCGTAGCTGTGTGATCATTAGTATCAGTGTGATCATTAGTAGCTGTGTGATCATTAGTAGCTGTGTGATCATTAATAGCTGTGTGATCATTAGTAGCTGTGTGATCATTAGTAGCTGTGTGATCATTAGTAGCGGGTGCGATCATTAGTAGCTGTGTGATCATTAGTAGCTGTGTGATCATTGTGTGATCATTCGTAGCTGTGTGATCATTAGTAGCAGTGTGATCATTAGTAGCTGTGTGATCATTAGTAGCTGTGTGATCATTAGTAGCTGTGTGATCATTAGTTAGCTGTGTGATCATTAGTAGCTGTGTGATCATTCGTAGCTGTGTGATCATTAGTAGCAGTGTGATCTTTAGTAGCTGTGTGATCATAGTAGCTGTGTGATCATTAGTAGCTGTGTGATCATTAGTAGCTGTGTGATCATTCGTAGCTGTGTGATCATTAGTAGCAGGGGTGATCATTAGTAGCTTGTGATCATTAGTAGCTGTGTGATCATTAGTAGCTGTGTGATCATTAGTAGCTGTGTGATCATTAGTAGCTGTGTGATCATTGTGTGATCATTCGTAGCTGTGTGATCATTAGTAGCAGTGTGATCATTAGTAGCTGTGTGATCATTAGTAGCTGTGTGATCATTAGTAGCTGTGTGATCATTGTGTGATCATTCGTAGCTGTGTGATCATTGTGTGGTCATTCGTAGTTGTGTGATCATTAGTAGCTGTGTGATCATTAGTAGCTGTGTGATCATTAGTAGCTGTGTGATCATTAGTAGCTGTGTGATCATTAGTAGCTGTGTGATCATTCGTAGCTGTGTGATCATTAGTAGCAGTGTGATCATTAGTAGCTGTGTGATCATTAGTAGCTGTGTTTTCATTAGTAGCTGTGTGATCATTAGTAGCTGTGTGATCATTAGTAGTGGTGCGATCATTAGTAGCTGTGTGATCATTCGTAGCTGTGTGATCATTAGTAGCTGTGTGATCAATTAAGCTGTGTGATCTTTAGTAGCTGTGTGATCATTAGTAGCTGTGTGATCATTAGTAGCTGTGTGATCATTAGTAGCTGTGCGATCATTAGTAGCTGTGTGATCATTCGTAGCTGTGTGATCATTAGTAGCTGTGTGATCATTAGTAGCTGTGTGATCATTAGTAGCTGTGTGATCATTAGTAGCTGTGTGATCATTCGTAGCTGTGTGATCATTCGAAGCTGTGTGATCATTCTTAGCTGTGTGATTATTCGTAGCTGTGTGATCATTAGTAGCTGTGCGATCATTCGTAGCTGTGTGATCATTAGTAGCTGTGTGATCATTAGTAGCTGTGTGATCATTAGTAGCTATGTGATCATTCGTAGCTGTGTGATCATTAGTAGCTGTGTGATCATTCGTAGCTGTGTGATCATTAGTAGCTGTGTGATCATTAGTATCTGTGTGTGACATTAGTAGCTGTGTGATCATTAGTAGCTGTGTGATCATTAGTAGCTATGTGATCATTAGTAGCTGTGTGATCATTAGTAGCTTTGTGATCATTAGTAGTTGTGTGATCATTCGTAGCTGTGTGATCATTAGTAGCTGTGTGATCATTAGTAGCTGTGTGATCATTCGTAGCTGTGTGATCATTCGTAGCTGTGTGATCATTAGTAGCTGTGTGATCATTAGTAGCTGTGTGATCATTAGTAGCTGTGTGATCATTAGTAGCTGTGTGATCATTAGTAGCTATGTGATCATTAGTAGCTGTGTGATCATTAGTAGCTTTGTGATCATTAGTAGTGTGTGATCATTCTAGCTGTGTGATCATTAGTAGCTGTGTGATCATTAGTAGCTTTGTGATCATTAGTAGCTGTGTGATCATTCGTAGCTGTGTGATCATTAGTAGCTGTGTGATCATTAGTAGCTGTGTGATCATTAGTAGCTGTGTGATCATTAGTAGCTGTGTGATCATTAGTAGTGCGGCCATTTGTTGAGTTATTGTTGGCTTGAGGTGATATGCTGTTGTGGACGTCCAGGTACAAATAGCGTAGGTAACATAAGGGTATATTAGTGTGTAGTATAGTGTAAGTAGTGCTGTTTGTGGTACATAACGTATCTTGAAGAGGATGCCAACTGTGTTGGACACTTTTTTGTAATGTGTTTGATGTGGGTGTTGAATTTCAAGCTTCTGTCAAGGAACAGACCCTGAAATTTTCCACTTGTTATGTTTAGCGATAGAAGTATTGTTAATCATACTGTTTAGTTAAACATTACTTGTTCTGCTGCCAGACATAATGTAGAAGGTCTTGTCAGTGTTAAGTGTGAGTTTATTAGTAGTCATCCAGGTTGATATTTTTAAGACCTCTTTATTAACAATGTTGTTGAGGGGAAAATGTAATAGTAGAGAAGCAGCAACAACAGCAGGAGGAAAGGAAGAACTAGGAAGAGGAGGAGCAACAGCAGGAGAAAGCTAAAAGAGTAGGAAATAGAAGTAATCCTGGTTATTGTCGTGGTGGTCACACAAAACTCTCAGGTACCTTACCGCCACATTTCACTTGGTCAGCTCCTGCCAACCTGGCAGTGTAGGAACATCGTAGCGGTTTAATGATGACTAGTGGTAATTTAGTGTGTTGATACGTGCCCTTATATCTGATGCAACAACTTTTAAAAATCTAAGACTCGTATGCTTACTGTATTAGTTTAGTGCAGCTGTTATATGTTCTAACTTTTAATAAGGTTATTTTGTACAGTCTACCGTTTCCAGTAATTAATATGTATAAGTAGATGTAGACAGTAGATGTTCCCCGTATATCTGACAGAACTTTAACTGTGTTATTCATAAACGGAAATATTCGTGTATAGGAATATTCCAGCTTCTTAAACTGTTCTATCAATGGTTTGATATCTTATATATGGAAAGTTATGCAAACTGTACATAAAACTTGACCGCGGGGATACCGTATCTCGGTTCCAGAGAACATGAGTCAACTCTCTGTAATGTTCTCTTATTTCTCCTTATTCTTCCTCCCTCCAGTCTCCTCCTCCTTCCCTCTACTCTTTAATCTTAAAATCTTCTTTCTGTCTACTTGGCTGGAGTCTTGACATCCAGGCTTGAGGCGTCTTAACATCTTCCTGTTTTCTTCTTTTTCAGAAGTACCAGAAGACACTGAAGACCCCAGAGTACAGTGCTATGGTAGACGCCAGCCTCGTGGATGATATCTTCTTTCAGGTGAGTAACAGTGGAATTAACCAACCATAACACAACCTCAGTGAGTAACCAACTACAACAACACAACCTCAGTGAGTAACCAACTACAACAACACAACCTCAGTGAGTAACCAACTACAACAACACAACCTCAGTGAGTAACCAACTACAACAACACAACCTCAGTGAGTAACCAACTACAACAACAACAACCTCAGTCTTAGGTCTATATCAAGAGATAACAAACGACCTTGTCTATATCAACAAATAACAGGTGACTATAGGTCTATATCAACAGATAACAAGCGACCTTGGGTTAATATCAACAGATAACAGGTGACCTCAGGTCTATATCAACAGGTGACACAGGACTGGCTGGTGTGTAGGTGTAGTCACAGCTGGTACACACGTGTCTTTGTTAATTGGGTAGCTCGTGTCAATCTTAATATCACACATGTCCAGGCTTGCTCACATGTTTGGGGGGATGCGTATGCGAGGGATGTGGGAGGGCGGTAATGCGGTAGTGTGAGGGATGTGGAGGGGCGGTAATGCGTAGTGTGAGGATGGGGAGGGGCGGTAATGCGTAGTGTGAGGGATGAGGAGGGGCGGTAATGCGTAGTGTGAGGGATGTGGGAGGGGCGGTAATGCGTAGTGTGAGGGATGAGGGAGGGGCGGTAATGCGTAGTGTGAGGGATGTGGGAGGGGCGGTAATGCGTAGTGTGAGGGATGAGGGAGGGGCGGTAATGCGTAGTGTGAGGGATGAGGGAGGGGCGGTAATACGTAGTGTGAGGGATGAGGGAGGGGCGGTAATGCGTAGTGTGAGGGATGTGGGAGGGCGGTAATGCGTAGTGTGAGGGATGAGGAGGGGCGTAATGCGTAGTGTGAGGGATGAGGGAGGGGCGGTAATACGTAGTGTGAGGGATGAGGGAGGGACGGTAATGCGTAGTGTGAGGGATGAGGGAGTGGCGGTAATGCGTAGTGTGAGGGATGAGGGAGGGGCGGTAATGCGTAGTGTGAGGGATGAGGGAGGGGCGGTAATGCGTAGTGTGAGGGATGAGGGAGGGGTCGGTAATGCGTAGTGTGAGGGATGAGGGAGGGGCGGTAATGCGTACGTGAAAGCGTCATTCCATGTTTACGCACACGGGGGAAGTGCGTCACCTGGGTGTCCCCAGCAAACACCTCACAACCACCACCTAGTTAGGTGAGGTTGTCACTTTCACCACCACCACCCTTACCTTCAAAACACACACACAGGGGCCAGGAGCTATGAATCGATCCCTGCAGCCACAATTAGGTAAGTACACACACACAAATCCCACCTTCAAGCCGCTCATGCTCTCCTTACCACCACAACCACCCACATACACAAACCATTATAGACTGCCTCTCTAATAAGTGATGGAGGGGGGGGTGCTCCCACTGGTGCCACAGGTGCCTGTATAACACTTTGGTAACTAACGTTGAGAGAGAGAGAGAGAGAGAGAGAAGAGAGAGAGAAGTAATAATACCTGCTCAAGTTATCACTGTTTATTCCACTCCCACCTGTCCTCTCCAGCCATTGATGATATTCTAAGTTAATCGTTAAAGTTTACAGCGAGTATATTTGTCGTGTGTGTGTGTGTGTGTTTCCAAGCTCCATTCCAAGATGAAAATTATTTATCAGGATTTATTTTTGTTGAGAGAATACTTGTTATGTCTTCTGTTAGACTGTTGAAGAGTCTTGCATGAGGGATGTTAGCAGTGTTGTGTATGTCTCAGACTCTCTTCCTTCTCACTACACGTATACCACACATTCTTCACTAAGTTGTCGCATTATCCACATTAACTTATTTTATATGTACAAGTTTTATGTCAGTAAATGATTCCTGTACGTTTTCTAGCTCTGATTTATCTTCAGTTTTGGGAAGAAGATACGAGGATAGAGAAGTAATGTGAGAGAGTGAAAGTGCTACCAAGTATACCATTATTGTCTTGCCTTCTACCAAAGGTTAACTTGTTTGAAGTTATACCTTTGATAAGTTTCGAGAGTCTTACTACTCTCGGAACCCGGCCATGGGCCAGGCTCGTGTGGTGCTTGCTTGGTCATCCAGGCTGTTGCTGCTGGAGTTCCACTGACCCACATATCCAACAGAGCCTAGTTGATCTGGTACCTCGTGAAGATACTTGTCCAGTTAACAGAACTAGTTGTCTGACGTTAATAGATCTAGCTGACTGACGGTAATAGATCTAGCTGTCTGGCTGTATGGATCGATGACTGGTACAGCCATCTGGAATTAAGGTATCTAAGTCTGACTCAGTGGATGAATGGATGGTTTCTAGAGTAAGAGGTTGCCGACTTCACTCGTTGGATTGACAGGCACTTAACTAAATGGCTCTTTAGCTGGGTTTCTTACTGTTTAATTGGATGACTGGTAAGCTAACTGGCTGACTGACTAAATAACATACTGGCTAGTTGTATGGGTGTGTGGCTGAGAGAATGCCTAGTTGGCTTATTGAGTAATTGGCTGACCGGCTTACTGATTGACTGTTGCGCCCGCCCCTGCTGAGTCAGGGTAACCATCTTGGTCAATACTCATGATAAATATAATAGGAGGTGGGACGTGGTCACTTGTCGCTTCAGTGGGACAAGCTGGACTGCTGGGTTATACAAGCCTCGTGTCATCACTCCCACCAGTCTGCATGTATTAATGCTTTTGGGAGACCCACCTCACTATCACAAGCACCACCATCACAAGCACCACCACAAGCACCACTACAAGCATCACCACCACAAGCACCACCACCACAAGCATCACCACAAGTACCACCACCACAAGCACCACCATCACAAGCATCACCACAAGCACCACCATCACAAACATCACCACAAGCACCACCACCACAAGCACCATCACAACACCACCACAACATCGACACAAGCACCACCACCACAAGCACCATCACAACTCCACCACAAACACCACCATCACAAGCACCACCACAAGCATCACCACCACAAGCATCACCACCACAAGCACCACCACCATAAGCATCACCAAAAGCACCACCACCACAAGCACCACCACAAGCATCACCACCATAAGCACCACCCACCATAAGCATCACCAAAAGCACCACCACCACCACAAGCACCACAACAAGCATCACCACCATAAGCACCACCAGCACAAGCACCACCATCACAAGCATCACCACAAGCACCACCATCACAAGCACCACCACCACAAGCACCACCACCACAGGCACCACCACCACAAGCACCACTACCACAAGCACAACCACCACCAAGCATCACCACCACAAGCACCACCACCACAAGCACCACTACCACAAGCGCCACCACCACAAGCACCACCACCACAAGCACCACCACCACAAGCACCCCCACCGCCAAGCATCACCACAAGCACCACTACCCACAAGCACCACCACCACAAGCACCACCACCACAAACGCCACCACCACAAGCATCACCACCACAAGCATCACCACCACAAGCACAACCACCACAAGCACCACCACCACAAGCATCACCACCACAAGCACCACCACCACCAAGCATCACCACCACAAACGCCACCACCACAAGCATCACCACCACAAGCACCACCACCACAAGCACCACCACCACAAGCATCACCACAACAAGCATCACCACCACAAGCATCACCAACACACAAGCACCACCACCACAAGCACCCCCCACCACCAAGCATCACCACCAAGCACCACATACCACAAGCACCACTACCACAAGCACCACCACCACAAACGCCACCACCACCACGCATCACCACCACAAGCATCACCACCACAAGCACAACACCACAAGCACCACCACCACAAGCATCACCACCACAAGCACCACACCCACCAAGCATCACCACCACAAACGCCACCACCACAAGCATCACCACCACAAGCACCACCACCACAAGCACCACCACCACAAGCACACCACAACAAGCATCACCACCACAAGCACCACCACCACAAGCATCACCAACACCACAAGCACCACCACCACAAGCATCACCACCACAAGCACCACCACCAAAAGCACCACCACCACAAGCATCACCACCACAAGCACCACCACCACCAAGCATCACCACCACAAACGCCACCACCACAAGCATCACCACCAAAAGCACCACCACCACAAGCACCACCACTACAAGCATCACCACCACAAGCACCACCACCACCACAAGCACCACCACCACAAGCATCACCACCACAAACACCACCACCACCAAGCATCACCACCACAAACGCCACCACCACAAGCATCACCCACACCACAAGCACCACCACCACAAGCACCACCACCACCAAGCACCACCACCACAAACGCCACCACAAGCATCACCACCAAAAGCACCACCACCACAAGCATCACCAACACCACAAGCACCACCACCACAAGCACCACCCACCACAAGCATCACCACCACCACAAGCACCACCATCAAAAGCACCACCACCACAAGCATCACCACCACAAGCACCACCACCACAAGCATCACCACCACAAGCACCACCACCACCAAGCATCACCACCAAAAGCACCACCACCACAAGCATCACCACCAAAAGCACCACCACCACAAGCATCACCACCACCACAAGCACCACCACCACAAGCACCACCACCACAAGCATCACCACCACCACAAGCACCACCACCACCACAAGCACCACCACCAAAAACACCACCACCACAAGCACCACCACCACCAAGCATCACCACCACCAAAACGCCACCACCACAAGCATCACCACCAAAAGCACCACCACCACAAGCATCACCACCACCACAAACGCCACCACCACAAGCACCACCACCACAAGCACCAACCACCACAAGCATCACCACCACCACAAACGCCACCACCACAAGCACCACCACCAAAAGCACCACCACCACAAGCACCACCACCACCAAGCATCACCACCACAAACACCACCACCACAAGCATCACCACCAAAAGCACCACCACCACAAGCACCACCACCAC